CGAGGGGTTTTGTTCACGGATAAGAAGCTTGTCTAGGTTTGAGGCACATAACGAAAAGGAAGATTTAGTCATTCCCTTTCTTTTACAGCCTGCCTCCGTCCTTCCATTGCTCATTCACAAATCCCTCGGTGCCTCCGTAGGCAGACAACTCGTAGGTGGATCTGAAGGAGAGGCTGCTGCTAGCATTTTCTGCTGCCTCTGCGAGCAGTAACACGCAGCCGAGCAAGCTCCCTCTTACAGAGAGGGGTCAGCTCTGCCGATGGCAGGGTTTGAATCTCTGCTTATTATGGCAAAGGGAGAGCCAAACAGAAACAGGGAAATTCAGTCCTAAGCAGCAGGCAGAGCGGCCAACGTTCTATGAATTAGGCATTGCTTCTAGAGAACAAACAGGATCTCTGGACCCGAGGGTTCAGACAAGCTGCGTGACTCAGCCTTGGTGTATTTGAACGTGTGAGGAGGAGAGGAGGTTGCCTGCAGCCTGAAGGGCCATCTCCGAGGGCTTGAACATCTCAGCCCCTGCAGCCCAGCCCGGCCGTGATGGAGGCTCAGGACCCTCCATGGCCACAGTGCACAAACACACGCAGCTTCCCCGCCCCAGCACAGCGGCTTGCACGTCGGCTGATCTCTGCTGTGGGCATCACCACCTCAAAGTTTGCATGCCTTTGTAGTGATAAAGTATAATGCAGGTGCAGATAAAGAACTCTCTCAAAATAGTTCACCCGCGGCCCTTGCTGTCATGCTGTTTGCATTAACTTTCCCCCATGGCAGGTCATTACCCCGCGCACTATGGCACCATTGGCAGCCATACACACCCGCCTTTTTTAAACTGGACTGGAATAAGAAAGCTGAGCACTTACAGAGGAAGGATTTCTGTGGGATGCTTCTGAGACTGAAGGTTCTCTTTATGGTTAATGCATCATTCCCCATTACAGTCATTTCCTCTGAAGTGAATGGGATTTTGCCATTATACTTTATGTTTATTGATACATATTTCCTAGCTGAATTGACATTCCCCTGTTGCCTTTTTCTTCTACCTTGAAATTACAGGAAGCCAAAAATCTTTCAACAGTAATGAGTTAAGTTCTGTAGCATGCAGAGCTGTGTGCTCTCCCATTAAGTGGGCTGGGGTTAAAATGGGCACCATTTACACGTTAATGCGTATGCCACAGCAGCAACATCGGTTCTGCTGTGATGTTTCAGGCTAAGAGGTCAACTGTTTAGCTGGGACACTTCCTAGCGGTATTTCAGTACTGTTTAACCAGTGATTGAGTGGAGGAAGACTTTCCTTGTGACTTGACATTGAGGAGTGTCACAGGGAAGCCTTTGAAGTTGAAGAATCAAAAAATCTGATTCTTTGTGGTGGCTAAAATACTTACAGTGCTTTTGGAAGACACTGCTATGGGGATCTTCTTTCCCCTTCCCTAAACTCTCCATCTCTAGACCCGCAGTTGGACACAGCATCTCCCTTGCTGTCTATTCCAAATTACTATTATGTGTTGCTGTGCGTTGTTAAATTATTTCCCTGTACTTCATCTCAGAGGCAGCAGAAGTTAAGAGATGGTGGAATTGGGTGGCTTGAGGGACTAGTAATGCTGCAACAAGGCTTTTCACCTCCTGTCTGAATCCAGCTGCAATTTTTGCATGACCAGAAGTAGTTACTGTGCGATGCCAGTTTGGTAAGTTGTGAAAAATAAGTTATTCTCTGGCCTTTTTTTTTTTTTTCTGGTGCATCTGCATCACAAACCCACTTCTTACCACTAGCTACAATACTACGGCCAACGCTTGCTACCCAGCATGAGTAAATCTGAGCACCTAAGCCATAGCTAGTCACCTAATTAAGTGACCTGATTTTCTCAGGAGCAGAGTATGTCTTCCAGCTCCCACTGCACTCAGCAGTTGTGAAAATCAGGGCACGTTTTTAAGTGGCCAAACACAGCTGTGACTAGTTTTGAGTACTCAACTTTTTAAAAAAGTGGATCTTGACAGTGCCTGGGAGGTGGAGCACCCAGAGGATGGGTCTTCTCCAGGTTCTGGCTGGTGGCTGCAGAGGAGGGTATTTGGGAGGGATGCAGTGCATGCCCTGTTTTGTGACTAACCAGAGGCTATCAGTCATCAGCACCATTCCCAGCAATAAATTTAAAAAAAAAAAAAAGAGAGAGTCTCTCAGCTTCAGGTCCCATGATAAAAATATACTTTGGCTTTGTTTGCTTTATGCAGTATTTCCTCCTCACACTGAAAATTAAATTGAAAAGGGAGTTTATTGTCCCCATGGAAGAGATAGGCACCTTTTGAAATCACGCATGAACAAACGTGTGTGGGGCCCAGCCTTCTGTTTTCTAACACCCCTTGGGGTCCCAGGAGCACAAAGGCAGCAGAGAAGGAGCTGCAGTCAATTCCAGCAGAGCTGTATTGTGCGATTTGTTCCAAGGAAACATCAATTCATTAAGTGAACAAGTCAACAAGGGTGGGTGGCAGAACCGTCTGTCCTGCTAGATTGTGTATGACTCCTTCAGAGATCTGTTCTGGGGTCTGGAGAGAGTAAATAACAAGTGAGAGGCAGCTTGTCTGCCCTCACTTTGCAACAGGAGAAACTGCTCATTTCAAAGCCAGAGCTTTACTGGGAGGGCATTTTTAATTCACTGGCTCAGATGCAACACAGACAGACACACTTCAGTGGCAAGATGTATGGTTAGGAAAGTCACATTTTGGTCGTGTTTTAAAGAGTATTAACAACCCAGACAAGAGGCGAGGTGAACAGAAATGGATGATGGAACCAGAGTAGGGAAAATCCACAGCCAGCCATTGCTCTGCTCAAGGAGCTGAAAGGTTCCCAGCCTGTGCAAGGGCAGAGCTTTTTGGTCTTTGCTCTTGTCTGAACTACTTTTCAAAGCAAAGCAGTGGCTGTTTTGCATAGTGCGTCTGAGCCAGACTAGGGAAAGGTCAGCAAGATAGAACAGACCAAACTACTATGTTGAGCGCACAAGATACATCCTTCCAGAAGGCAGGTGCTTGGACTACCGCTCTGCTGATCTCAAATGAATGCTGGCCGATAAGGGCAGCAAAATGCTTCAGGAGGAAGTATTTTCATAATCGCACATTTGCAACATAGCCCTTTTTTGCAGCATTATCTTTCTGCCTTCCTCTTACTCTCAAAATGAACAAAAATATGTACATTCAAGGGGTGGGGAAGCCAAGGGCAGAGCAGAAACACAGCTGAGTCAACAACACATGTCTACGAGCTGGCGGGTAACATTGCATATTCCTGCATGGTTATCGGAGTGCTTTCGAAAGTCATCACTGCAGACAGAAAGGGTAACAGAAGCGCAGTAAACATCCTACACAGCACTATGGGCAGAAACAAGAAATGCTGGATGGTCCCAGCTGCCCTAATTCTAGAGCCACAGGGTTGGACCCTGCCGTTACGACCCTTTCCCCCCCCTTGGACTCGCTTCCTATAACCAACCAGCAGCATCTTCCTGCAGCAGATATCAGGGTGTATAGTACATTGATCTTGTCCCTTTGATCAGACATGTTCCCTCTTAAAGATGTCAGCAAGTCTTTTGCACTATTGCCAAGCCATAACATACCATATTTAGTAAGATTAGGTTACGGCTCGAGGCCGGACGGCGTAAACTAGCAGTTTTCCTGTCCTCAGTCAGATTTTCTGTCGCTAACAGCAGGCAGCTCTGAGACACAGCAGAGAACCCACAGAGCAAAAGGGAGGCAGCTGCTTTGGCCAAATTAACAACAGAATACAACTGGCTGTCGCCTTCGTCAGTCCGTGGGCTGTACCCCTGCTCACACTTCACACCCCGAACGGCAGCCAGCGGGGCTTTGCCTTCGGTGGGTGCCTCAATGCATTCCCTGTTCTCTAACGCTGGGAAAGACACCTCTGTCTACCAGTGCAGTGTGGTGGGTCTGTAGGATGTAGATCCTTTTCTGGCACTGCCCATCTGTAGGATCCCCTCCCCTTCCCTGGCTTTGGGGTACAGCTGCCTGGAGACCCCACTCTCACCTTCTGTGAAGGCTTCTTACTCTTCAGTCCTTCCTCCACCCACACCATTTTGCACGAGTGTGTGCTGGTTAATTAGATTAAACCAGCATCCCGTTCATTTTGACCTCCTTCCTACCAGACCCGTAGTACTTGTTTGAGAGCAATATTGCCCTTCTTCCCTTAAGTAGAAAGCTCTGAAATCACCTATTCATGGGGAATTTGCCTCCTGACACCCAACTGAGGGCCTGTCTTCTGCCCCACGAGCCTAACGTTTCCATCCTTTTCTGCTTCCTTCATTCGTAATTTTTGCTAAATATTTATGCCGTTTGGCTTCTGGGTGAATTCCTCATTCCGGCAGTCTCTAGTGTTACAAAGCTGAACTGATCCACAGCTGCATTTCAATGCTGATGTTGAGCATTTAGAAAACAGTTACATGTCTACAAGGTAAACAGCACTGTGCTGGCTTGTTCTGCAACTGGAAAACTTGCTGAACAGAAGACTTGAGTCTTCCTAGCTGGAGTGAAAAGGGATTTATAGGCATCCTGAAGGGAAATAAGCAAAAGAGTGCTTTCAGCGTAGCAAGGGCTGAAGGGAGGTAGCAAATGTTGGCAGGTTCTTGTAACTGGAAAATCTCTGGTTTGAGCCCTCTGGTGGCAGCTGCACTTTTATTGTCCTCAGTGCCATTGCAATTCTGCACTTCCAGACCCAAACCTTTCGGTTTTCATGCTGAGCAACTGAGCAGCAAAGAGGTCATTAAATGCCAAAAGCCGATGCTTCACTATCCAGAAGAACACCAGGCCAGGCAGGGAAAACCCAGAGGTCCGCGTCTCATACTTTGAACAGGCAGCATGGCTTTGCCCCTCAAACAGTGTACGGCGATTTGACGGGTGGCAGGGCCAAAAGAAAGCCCCAGAGCTGAGAGAGTCAGTCTGGAAAGCAGATCCCGCAGGTTTCTAAACAGACTGTTACAGCTCTTCCCCAGCAAGGACCCGGGTTCAAGCAATTGATGTGACTATAGCCGTATAACCCAGCATCACTGAAATATTCTTTTTATTTTGCTCTCTCTTCAGACAAAAAGCACTGGCATCGACAGGTGGAAGAAGTGTTCAAGCAGCATGCGACTGGTTGGTATGAAGTAATAAATGTTAAAAAGAGTAAAAGGAATTAGTGAATTTAATGTTTAGGATTTTAACCATTAGAATATGGAACGTTTACACGGGGGCATTATCTGAAAAGCACTAGCAAAATTAGTAAGACATTATTTAAGTACTGTAAATAAGCAATCCAGAAACAAGCCTTGTCTGAGAGAGTTTGTGATCTTGAGTAATAGCAAAAAAAAGCGAGAGAAAGGAACCACTACTCTCTGCATCCTAGCACCTAAACAGAAAACTGACAGCTGCCTTTTCAAAGATGTTGAGTAATTTCTAGTGCTCTCCTCCCTGTGTTTTGTACACCAAAAGTCAGAAAGGCAGAAGCAGTGACCCAGGTTAGGTCTTCAGACCCTCAGTCTGAAACTAAAACCCAATTTTCTTTGTTACTTAGCAGTGGTAATAGGCTGCAAGCGAGACAGTCCATCTCTCCACCTGACCTGCCGGAGACGATTTTTTCCATAAAGGAAGAATGAAAGGGAATGAGGACAGGGGAAGCTGGTTTTGCTGGGAAAAAATATGTCTGTATCTGTCAGTCTGACACTTCTTTCTCCCTCTCAGGCTGTTCTCCCATGTGGGTGACCCATTCCTCGATGACACCCTGCCCCGGGAGTACGTCCTCTACCTGCGCCCCACCGGCCCCCTGGCTCAGAAGCTGTCCGAGTTCTGGCAGCAGTCAAAGCAGATCTGTGGGAAGAACAAAGCTCACAACATTTTCCCACATATCACCCTTTGCCAGTTCTTCATGGTAAACCAGAGCTCCTCTTTCCGTTGCCTTTATGCATGCCTTCATGAGCAGCCCTTGCCAGGCTCAGACTGGAGAGGTTACACACTTCATTCAGTCGTTGCAGAAGGGTTTGTGCTGGGGAGTTGGGGGGTTATTACCAGAACAGCCTGATGCCTGGGCTTGTTCAGGAGGTAACTGGTTTTTAAGTGGGTTGTTTTGGGGGAACAGAGGCAGCAGAAGACTAAATACTCATAATCTCAAGTCATCGTTAACATAGAGGTGCAGGGGCTGAGGTTAGGAAGGTTCCTTGGGGATGCTTTAAGGACAAGGGAGGGGCAGATTATTTCTAAACCTACCTTTTTCTATGACCCTGCACTTTTTCTCACTGCATGATAGCGAAGGTAGTCCATTCGCTCCCACCCAAGCCTTGCCTTTCTCTACTGAGTGCACTAGAGAGCTAAGCACAGGCGTGAGGAATGATTCTCCACCTGAGAACTGCTTGTCCCGCTTCTTTTGGCAGTGTGAGGACAGCAAGGTCGATGCTCTCACTGAAGCTCTGCAGGCCACCGTGATGCGGTGGAAATGCAAATTCCCTGCCCCTCTGCCTTTGGAGCTCTACACGTCCTCAAACTTCATTGGGCTTTTTGTCAAGGAAGAAAGTGCTGAGGTGCTCAAGAAGTTTGCTGCAGACTTTGCTGCAGAGGCTGCTTCTAAAGCAGGTGAGTGACTATGCTGGCAGCTACAAAAAGCTCATGGCTTGGTCAAGGCTTGGGCATTTTCAGAAACCAAAGTTTCGATGGCATGAAGAAATGAAGCTCGTTAAGCCAATATTTGATTTTTAAAAGTGGCTTGAAGGCTAAGAGCCCGAGAGGAACACCCCATGGGGTGCTTTGGGTTTCAGTGCTTTTTCAGTTGAAAGATCACCTCACACTTAGTCTCAAGTGTTATCTCCTGAAAGGGAAGTTGACATTTGGTGGTTCCTTAACCTTTCAGATAGACGCTCTGTCTGCAAGGCTGAGCGTTTCCTGCTCCACTTGCTACCTCAAGCCACTGCCACAAAACTTCCCTCAGCCACGTCAGGGCTGTGTTCATTTTTTCGCTGCATTTCTGAGAGGTAAAGAAGACTCTCTGAGAAGACCCCGAGTGCCCTGGCAACCTAGTGGGGAACCTCTGCAAATCTCAGTGGCTGGCTCCATTGCCTGGTCCTCTGCTGCTTCTGGAGGAGGGAAATAACCAGAGCACCCCGTGCTCTTGACGGTCTCCACTGCTGAATGGGCTCTCTGGGTGTCCTCTGATTACCTCCAAACTTGGAAGTCAGAACAGCATCAGAGCACTGTAATAGCTCCCTGACTAATCCTCCCACCCCCCGTCACTGTAATGCTCAGCCTGGACTAGTCACAACACAACCGGTTTAGTCCTTCATTATCACAGGCTTATCCTGGAGTTTAAGTACATCAAGATACAGCAGCTTCTGAGTCCCTGGGGTGTTTTTGTGCTAGACAGGCACCCCGTAACACTATGCAGAACAACTGCAAGTCTCTGCCCCTGGGTCAGAGAAGGAGATACAGACATGTCGTAGGTTCATCGCACCTCTGAAATGCATTGCTTTCACCTGGCAGTGACCTAGAACTTTTCATCCCTTTAGAAGAGGAAGGAAACGGCTGGGATCTTTACAAATGCACATTTTGGAAGGCAGCGACAGGCAAAGAGACATTAGGCAGGTCCAAGAACTGCTGCAGCCACGAGAGGGGTACAAGTGTTCCCCTGCCCAGCACAGACACACCCTCCAAACCAACACAGTCAGAAGGGGCAGTTCTTACCCCAAAAACATTGACCCAGAAGAAAGAAGCATCAATGGCTTCCAGCAAGCTTCTGCCCCTGCAACTGTGTCAATTCAGACCAAACCGGTTCTTTCAGTTGCTGCATTGCAGTCCACAGCTTGGTCAGGTTATCACATTAAAGTCTCTGGGGCTTTTTCAGAGATCCAGAGCATATTTTTTCTTGCTGAACAAAAAAAAGATGGATGAGCTTGCAAAGCTACCTCTGGCTGGCACTTGGAGCCAAGTCTCTGAATAGCTGCGATTTTGACTGAATAATCAGTCAAATTTAATTGCAATTTTTGGTTGAATAAGCAAGAATAAATTACATGCAAACAATGTATCCTGTAATTTCCACATCTACTGGAAGACTCCCAATATTTCACATACTTTCACCTTTCTGCTTCCTGGAATCCTTCCCTAATACAGGTTCTTTTTGTGCAGGATCATTTTGGATCATTATCATATCAATGTCTGTTTCACCAACTTTGGAATACCTCATCCTCAGTGGGTAAACTGCTAATCTAACTAATGTCCAGGGAAAAGATTTAATCAAATTGCATGAACCTGTAAATTCCATGGATTTTTAATTGCTACCGTAGGAGAGAGAACAAAGGAGAGAGAGTAAAAATTATGCTTTTTAACTTGCGTATTTTGGAGAGATCCTCAGCTGCGAATGAAAGAAAGCCTACTCCTTACCTGGAAAAGTGTCTTTTTTGGGCAGAAGACCCAGTGGGATCAAAATTACAATAATTGTTATCACACCATCCAGACACCCATCATTTTCTGAATGCAAATGAGTTTTGGCAGCTTGGCAAGGATGCCTTGTCTACCACCCTGGTGTGACTCAGGACTGAATCAGACCACAAATCTCTAATAATTTGATCCAAGGTGCAACATATATAGGGAACTCACATTTGACTTCCCCAAGGGCTTTTCAGAAACTGCCCTACAATTTATTCCACTTGAGCTATCGTTAAAAGTTCAGCTCCCAGCTCCCGTTCAGAGGCGATAGACGCTCTTACACCTTCGAAAAGCTGCTAATCTCGACAGTCACTTGTTGTTAACTGACATCTTCTCATTGCAGATGTTCACGTGGAGCCCCACAAGAAGCAGCTCCACGTGACGCTGGCCTATCACTTCCAGACCAGCCACCTGCCCACGCTGGAGAAGTTAGCACAGAACATTGATGTCAAGCTGGGCTGCGACTGGGTTGCTGCAATATTCTCCCGAGATATACGCTTCGTTAATCACGAGGTAAATTTTTGGAGCTTATTTCAGTCAAAAAGAAAAAAAAAAAATTAAAAAAGAGGACCTAGCAGAGTTGCAGTCTGGTTTAGCTGCATTTGCAGCTCGAGAGTGCTCACAAGCTGCGAGCTGCATGAGGACTGCCGTGTCCGCTGATGAGAGCTGCACGGATACACAGCACAGACTTTACAGACATTAAAGAATTTGCCTCAGGTCCCACAGGAACACCCAGAACACAGATCTCCTACAACCCACCAGTCATCTTAACCAACAAACCATCTTGCCTTTTTTTTGCTTTTTACTTATACTATCTAGACTTGCTATTTCACCCACCTCGTTTTTTGGTTCTTGCAGGAACAATGTCCTGCTGGATTAATTAGTTCTAACAATGACTCTCCTGTTAGCTCAAAGTAAGCTGGTCTGATCTCTCAAGAACCAGGCCAGTATGTTAACCTGACCGCTATCCAGTTCTTCTGAACAGACTTGCCATTGTTATTAATCACAGCATTTAGTTTCATCATGTAAGAAATGTTTACCCTCATGGCCTGTATACTTCAGTTACTCATATGGATTCTGTAACTGCAGTATCTAAGTGTCTTAACGTAGTTTTCTTAATGTTTTTTTCCAACACAGTATACAGAAAAAAAAAAATATTATTTCCATGTTATAGACTGGGATCTTGGGCTTAGAGAAACCATGCTTAGAGATTCATCTCTCCTCCCTGTAAATATTCCCGTGTTAGACCTCTGAGCCAGCCTGAGGCTCCCTTTGCACTGAGGCTCAGTGTGGAGAAACAGGCACCTCCAGAAAGTGAGTCATCTGACCCATCTAAGATGTCTGTCTCGGGACGAAATGAATCAACTTCTGGAGGAGGGAACCTCCAGAAGGAGCCTGCTCAGGCGGCTAACTAGACTCCTACGGTTGGGGTGATTAACCCCACCAAAGCGCATTGTCCAGAATCAGACACACAAAACCATGGGCGGAGTGGGAAAAAGTTATTTCAGCCCAGCACACGATACACCATGGAGTAAACAGATGCCAAAGCTTCTGGAGAGCTGAAATCTCTCGTGCACAGCACTCTGACCCAGCCCAGGCCATGCTTCCCATGCGTGACAGCCTCCTTTCCTATCCAAAGAGTCATCTTGCCCTTTAGAAGCTGCAAGCGGTCAACACTTATCACTGATCGCAAAGGGAGTTGCTGAGGAAAGCCAGCTCGTGTTTTTGCATATCTGACTTCAAGCAGCCACGTGTGAAAGTTTTGGCCCTGTGGTATCAGGTGACAGTGTCTAGTTTCCATCTTCCTTTAAAGATACCACAAATAGTCTAGGAGGATTAGCGAGCAAACAGGCTGACACCATCAGGAGATCAGAGCTGCTCAGCAGATTATGTTTTGTCTTTGTGTGATGCCATCGCAGAAGTTAGCCTTGGCCAGGGACAATAACACGTTCGTTCTCCTTTTAAATAGGGGACTGCTGTAGCCATTTCCAAGGAAAGTTACTGATAGACATTGTGGATTCCTCGTGCTCCAGTGAAGAGAAGGTTACAGAATTACACTCACTGATCTTTCCTCCACCTTTTAACTTAATCCCATCCAGGTTAGGAAATACAAAGAAAATAATGTGGCCGCATCCCAGTATTTCTCATCACCTGTGTTTTTTCCTGTGCATTCTCATGAACAGCTTTGAGAGCAGCGTGTCACAGAATCAAACCTGTTAGCCCCCCAACAGTGTCCATGCCTTGTCTTCAAAAGCAACAGCAACAAGAACTGCTCTTTCAGATCAAGCACGAGTAGGTAAACCTAAAATGGTCACTGACTGCTACAGCTGTGTAAATTCCAGGTCCCAGTGAGAATTCAGTTCCATTTTTCACAGGGCGATTAGATTTGAGCACACGGTCGTGTTTTTGCTCGCTCTAAAAAAGCATTCCCCCTTTCCCTCCTGATTATCAAAGACACAACTGGAATCAAAGACAGAAGGAGGAGTAAATACCTAGAAAAGCTTTCCAACAGCAAAGAGTGGGAAGTGGCAGGAATTCCCTGAAGATAAAGCTTTCCTGGATAAAGTACAAAGTGATGCATTACAAGGAGAGCCGGTCACACCTTGCTAAGGTTAAAGGTGTGGGAGTGCTCCTGCCCCACTTCTGCTAAAGGTTCCTTTCCATTAACAATCCTTTCATTCATTTGTGCTTCTGTTTCTCCCCCAGACTCTGCAAGTGATCTATCCTTACACCCCTCAGAATGACGACGAACTGGAGCTGGTCCCAGGGGATTTTATTTTCATGTCCCCAGTGGAACAAACCAGTACAAGTGAGGGCTGGATTTACGGTATTTCCCTTGCAACTGGCTGTTCTGGGCTACTGCCTGAAAATTACATCACGAAGGCGGATGAATGTGGGACCTGGGTGTTTCATGGGTAGGTAAAGCCACTCAGTCCAGTTTCCATCGCTGTAAAAAGGGGGCTCAGCAGCTGTGATTTCACCTGGGTAAGTGAAGAGTCTCCTAGGGTGGCTGAGAAGGTCGCTTGGGGGAAACATACTGGCACACAAATCGCCATCTCATAAGCAAAGGAAGAGCAGATGCTATCCCTGTGCATGGGATTAGAGGACAGCGTGATTTATTTAGCTAAGATATTACAGCAACTATTACTCATAGGATCATTGCTGCTGGTTAACGGAGCCAGAGCAGATGGCTGCTGTGGAGCTACTGCTGTGTAGACACCTCTGTGGTGGGACTAGGATCAGGAAGGTTTAAATCTGAGCATTGATTTGGGAAGCGAGGTCTTCTGCATATAATTCCCTGGCGAAAAGGACTTGGGATCAGCAGTGTTTCTTAAGATACTTAGCAAGATTTTCGGAAGCGGTTAGTCGCCTGCCTGCTGTTGGCCTCAATGAGAATGCAGACCTCACCTTTTGAATAAGGTTATGCCTTATGCCTCTTGATTTTGATGGGAATTAGTTGAACAGCAATAAAAAACTAGGGCATGAGGGGTGGGTCCGGGCACTCCTGCAAGGCTGTCTGCATCTCTAAGCACCCAAACACCTTTGACAAATCTGGAGCATAGGGAGTAGTTTGTGTGTAAGAGCACAAGACGACAAGGAGAGAGGAGAGGGATGTTCCTGCCTGCCGTCCCGGTACAGAAGTTTGGTTACGGTCACACCACTCAGCAGGTTAGTTACAAAGGGAAGGGATGGAGATACAGAACAGAGCACAGACAGTTCACCTCTCAAATTTCAGTGGGTAAACCTGTGGGGAGCGTCTCTGAGCAGAAAGGGAAGGCATTCAGTAACCCTTGTCAGCACAGGACAGCCAAAGGAACTGACCTAACCCAGCACTTTCATAGAAACTGATCCAACAACTCCTTAAATCAAGCAAAATGCAGGAAACAAAGAGCAGAAAGGGCAAGCAGCCTTTTCCTTTGCCTGTGACTTTTAAGGCTTAACACGTGCAAAGTGGCGAATGACAGATGGAGAGCAGGCGCAGGGCAATCACAGCGTGCAGGCTGGTTTCCAGATGTGACCGCCACCGACCACTGCCCTCCTGCAAACCAGCCCTGGCTCAGCCCTGAGTCCTCCCCAACCCAGAAGTCCATCAGGCAGGGACTAGCGTAGTAAGGGATCACTCATTTTCCCCTCTTGTCACAACCGTCTGTTCTTTTCTTGCCTGCCCTCTGAGAAATGGGCACCACTAATAAAGGGCTTTCATCCGTATGTTAGCCACACAGAACAAGCCTATCTATACTGAGTCGGTCACTATCAAACTCCAACTCATCTTACATTACGAGGAAAGAAAAGACCTCCAGTAACCACTGCTTAAAGAAAGGAAAATCAAGACACATGGGCAAAGTCAGAGTGTTTGTATGAAAACAAGACTTAATCCAGACTCTCCAGTCTGCAATCCAGCAAGACCATCCTTTCTTCCCCTAAAATTTGCCAGCCAAAATGGTCTCGGGTCCACATACACTGCAGCAGCCTGCTTTAGCGGATTCTGCCTTTTTTTCTTACAGTGGCTGGAAGAGTTTTGAGGCCTAGGGAGTCGCATGGGAAAAAATTACTATTGCAGCAGCAACTAAAAGGAAAGCCAAATGTTCTGTAACTCCAGCACCTCGGTCTCCAGACAAGCAAAGAAAGGAAATGCCCCTTCCCTGATTACCGCTAAAGACTATAAATCATTAATTGGAACACACAATATGGAGCATTTATCAAAAGCATTATTACATACCCGGAAATAGTCTCATTTTACACAACGGCTTCCCGCAGGGAATATTAGGTTACAGAATGTCATGTGGTCAAAACAATATAGCAAGCTAAGGATGACCTAAGCACCACTGCTGTCTAGGGCACTGTATTCGTGGCAGGATCCTTGCAGTAAGAGAAGAACAGCACACAGATATCTTCATTTTGTAGACATGAAAGTAAGCATGGCAGTACTCACCGGGACTGCAGGAGAACTGGTGCGGTGCAGGAGATGGGAACCAGCTCTTGGCGTTGGGACCGAGGCTGTGATCTTGGGGGCTGGCTTGTGCTGCCTCTGCGTACACAGCCACGTCCTGTTTCATCCCTGCAGAAGATGAAAACGAAAGAAAGAATAGCCATGGATCTTTCCCTCCTAGTCACAAGAGACTGCATTCTTCAAGTGAAAATCATGCATTATTGAGATCATCACAAAAATACAGCTCACTGGGCTGCAGCACCCTGGCTATACCACGCAAGAGATATGACAGGCAAAATGCTATTCTGGGATATTTGCTTGAATCTTTGATAAAGCAAAATTAGATTGCTAGTTCCTGCACATTTCACCTGAAAAAGGGTTCCCTGTTGCACTGCTCAAGAGAGGCAGAAGCTAAAGGGTGGCCTTTGCAGGACGTGGTTTTTTTGGCTAATATCCAAATAGTGCCCCAAGAGCTCTGCCCGGCACACAGCCCTTCCTGGGGAGCACTGTACAAACACACAACAAAAAGGTGTCTCTGCCCTATGGTAAGGTCTGGTCTGTACCTCAGCTGCAGACCAACAGGCTGCTATGCTAAGAAGAGTAGCTTGATGATCTACTTAATAGGGCAGAAGTGGCTTTGCCTTCCAGGCAGAGTTACTGCCCATGAAACCAGGTTGTGTCTTGAGAGACTCCAGGTCTGAATCCTTTCCCTGTCTACTAAAAATAGGAATGGTTTCACTTCTGTTCTGCAAACCCCAAGGATTTTCCATACACCTAAACTACATTTCTCTACTGGCTGTGGCGTCATCCCTGCATGATTTCTTCTCAAGCCAAGGACTGGACCTGCTGGAAACAGCGAGGAGAAACATTCGATCTCTGATCAGTGCTACAGATTGGAAAATAATTGAAGATAAATTGCTTCAGCATCCCACACAATGCAACCCAGATCCTAAAGTCTGTGTAACCCATTCTCGCCATCCCCTCAGTAAGGGTATGTGAGTGAAAAATAACCTTTCTGAAACAAGCACTGGACTCTCCTTAGGGGAGGAACTGGTTGTGTTTCTGTCCATGTCAGGAGATCTGTTCTGACTGAGCCTAGGAGAGGACCTGGCCATAGGTATGTTAAAATGCTTTTCCCCCTGTGCGGTATCAAGGTGGAAATCCCCTCCTGTTAGCAGCAGAAGCTACTAGTGAGCTGAAACTACTTGGAATGAATCCAAACTACAGATCCAGTATTAAAGATATATATATATGTATATCCACCTTAAAAAGTCCCCAGCAAACTGCTTGCAGGGTATTTTCTAAGTTGCCTTTCGTGCCCGAAAATTAGTGGGCTGCCAAGTCAAAAGAAGACACTTCTCCACCCTCAGCACACAGAGATCAGAGGAAGCGGGAAGCCCAGCAAAGGTACAAGAATTTAGTTGCCCCACAGAAGCTGCAAAAACCAAACATTCAAGATCATGGGGCTCTTGCATATGCACGCAAAGGCATACGGCAGAAATAAGTTTGCTATCTTTGTATCTGTGGACCCAGCACCACCCAAAAGCTAAAACTTGTGATGGTTCCCCGCACTGCTTTTCCATTACCAGCAAAGCCAGAAATAGTCACCTCCTCTGCCCCAAAATGAATAGAAGCGCTGTAGTTACTACACTGCCGTCTATTTCAGCTCCTCGTGAGATGCCAAAGCTATTCCTTGCCCCTTTAATAAGCCTGAGAAATCAGACTTGGCACAAGTACCAGGGGGAGGAAAAACAGCCCTAATTTTTCAGCTATATTTGGGCTTGAGTAGGTTTTTTTCCACTCTGTCTTCCTCCCGTTGTGCAAGAACGGCCAGTTCATCTTCCCTGGGGATCCCTCCCCTCTAGATAATGACAAGTGATGCAGCAGAGGAGTCTCTTCCTACACAGAGCTGAGGACCAGTGCTGTTGTGCCATGACAGAGACCTTTCTCTATCCTCTGCTGTGAGCATCTCCGTTCTTCAAGGGGCCTTTCCTGACCAGGAGGACATTGCCTCCAGGGACACGGCAGTATCTCTGACAGAGCAGTGAAGGCAAGGCATCATCCAGAAGACAGTACATGTTGTTGTCTGCCTTCAGTCTCTGTTTGGCAAGCAGAGGAACCACAAGCCTTTGGGAAAAGCTTCCAAACAATGACCTACGCTTAGAAGATGACTAAGCTGAAATAGCTTCAGCGGTTTCTGTTTTCCAGCAACATCAAGGAGATGCCACTGAAGATAGGCTGGTGGCTCTCCTTCAGACACAGCAAGGTAGTGTGCCTTCGCCTCATCATCATTCACAGCGAATCCTAGCATCTATAAATAGATAGTAAAACATTCATGGCCTTTTAATAAGGGCTTAGAAAGAAAGAAAGTCTCAGAAATTGTGCAGCAGCTCCTGGGTGCAAAGGGAAGAAGGGTAACCAGCAAATCTTTAGTATTCTCCAGGCCAGTGTCCTGAAAAGACTGTCATATGGGCAAAGCAGGAAAGGGCTGAGACAGGATGAGGGGCTGTAAGCTGCAACACAGAAGTAAAGACAGAGTGCTCAGGCTCGAGATCCACTTTGTACAGCAATGGAGATGGGTCCTAGCTAAGAAATTCAGATTCTTCTCATATTGAGATATTCGAGTTTTCGAGTCAGTGAGGATGTGTCTGTGCTAACTGCACCCGCACTCCAAGCTGACCACTGCATACAGTGATAAATGTCTGTTCACACCTCCTGCTTGGGGCTTAGCTGCCCTGGGCTTGGCACACACTAACGCACTCAGGCAGCTTTTGGATCAGAGCTGGCCTTATCCTGCCAGCTGGAAGCGTGGTCCAACTGTACTTCTGCCTGCAATATATCACATGCATATATACTGAGGAGGAGGGTTAGACATGATTTCTCACCCCAGCACCTGGTAATATTTCCCTCAGCGTATCCCCAAAGCTCTCCTGCCTACATTTAACTTCTCTTCAAGATCCACCACCCCTGTTGCACCTTGGAGTTGTACTGTGCTAACTCAGAGGTGTTTGCTGCTGTGACCTCTGGATGCTCTGTCTGCGTTTGGGCAGAGAGGGGGACAGTTCCTTGGAGCAAGCCCAGCCCTCGTTGGGAACTCACCAAGAATAAAATAAATACAGTTATGAGAATGGGTGATGCTAGAAGGTCAGGTCTGAAAGAGTAAGAGCAAGAGGCTGGAGAGGTTATCTGCTGCCGGAGGGCCGTGCCCATGGTGGCTGCTGCAAGGATGCTGCTGGTCGGGGATCAGCAGTGCTGTCCCCGGCATGGCTGGGTCCCACCTCCTGCTCCCCTTGCCTGCCAGTGCTTCTCTGCATGGCATCTCCACCTGACCAAATAAGCCAGTACCGCAGTCTCATCCTTGCATTATAATTCCACCAGATAAGGGACCAACATCAGGACCAACAGCGTGGTATTTTTTTCTTCTTTAAACTGGTGCAAATCATATGATCTTGCAGAAGATCAGTTCTTTACAAAAATGCAGATGACCTATTTTTGTTCCATTGGTAGAGGCACTTGGTGTTTTTCTAACAGCTATGAAACCCCTCTGAGATTTTATCCTAACTAGGTGCTAGTCAGGAAGCAACTTCTGACATATTTGAGGCACTGAAAAGTGCAAGCAACGCAGCTATTTCTGTCAAAGTAAATGACCACATACATTATCTGACAATGCTTTTTTTAATGACTAAACGAACGTAACCCATACAATGTAACCGAATCGCAGAGGGTCACTGCAGCTTCTGTAATTGCCTGTCAGAGCTTACTCCCAAGGGTCTTGGTCAAAGTCCTTGAATGTCTGGACATGAGAGCTTTATTCAGAGGGACCATCATTAGATAAGCCCCTCCAGGGAGAATGGGATCTATTACATATCCCTTTGGCTACACTTAAGAGGAAGCACTGGTGAGAATAAATTCCCACTGTTGATGGGAAATGGAATAGACAGCACTGAAAAATGTAGAAACCAGAACCCAGACTGAGAGTGCCATGTCCCTGCCAGGGGACACAAGCTATTTTGTGCGCAGGAACCCTGTAAACTGCCCAGCATGAGAGGCAGGGCTGTGCTCCAGCTTTCTACTGAAGCAATAGCTTATACAAAGGTGAGTGAAAACCCCCTGTAGCCATTAGTTTCCAAACTTTGGTCCACAAGACCGTGGTACGTAATGTGCAGCTGGTGCCCAGATGATGTTAGTGAGCATCCTGCAGCTGTGAGGAAGGTCTTGGCATTTTCCATGAGAATATTTGAGGGCTAACAGAGCCCTGCAGACAAAAGTTTGGGAACTGTTGTTCTGTGAAACTGTTTCCAAGGAAACAGAAAGCCTGTTGAGATGGGATTTGTCTCTTCATGTGTGTACATCACCTAGCAAGGTGCTCTCTAGGCAGCACTAAAATATAAATAATAATGTAATAACATGACAACAGTAATTCTCATCAGTTCCTGAAGGCTACATAAATGTCCTTACTGCAGCCTGAGCACATGAAGCCCAAAGCATTCCCAAAGCCAACAGCTTCCTGTTTTTGGCAGGTCCTACTCAATTCTGAATACTACATCTTCCCCATCCCTTCAAGCCTTCACTGATGGAGCTCTGGAAAGAAGACAGCAGGAAGACCAAGGACCCGGGGACACGGGGCCACTCACTATCATCTGCCAGAACGTGCAGGTAGGGACCCGCACGCACACATACATCGCACACAGTTGTAGTGGCAAGTTTCCGGCAACTGGGTTTTCCCCAACAACTCATCCTCTGGTCTCCTTTCACTGCCTGCCTCAGAAGTTACAAGTTCTGTAGAAGCTTTTGAATGACATGATTAACCACAGGCAGAGAAGATATCACTGTCCCCAAACATGCTCTTAGCATTGGGTGGCAGGGCCCCATCTTCTGCTCACTTTAGCAGTTTTATAACAGCATAAATTTACCAACTTCAGAAGAGTTTCCTGTACGTGCATTTGCACTAGGGTAAAGCAAGAGGTGCCTGGTCCTGACTCCCGTTAGTAAATCAAATCTCAGAAAAACCCTTGGACTTTGATGAAGGTCAAACATCCTGTCATTTTTCTTCCAGCCCCTGAGAATAACCAGCCAGCCAGGGCCTCAGAAACGCTGCCTGTTTGTCTGCAGACACGGGGAAAGGATGGATGTCGTTTTTGGGAAGTACTGGTTGTCACAGTGTTTTGATGCCAAAGGTGAGTCGGCTCCCGTGGGTCTCCCAGGCTCTAGGTTTAGATGAAGGAAGGAGAGTGGCAACTGCCTGGGGCAAAGCTTGGGTGGAAGCTGTGGTTTCCTAGCACAAAGTGTTGCTTTGAGCAGCTACTCATGGCAGAGCAACTCAGCGCAGAGCTCTGCAATGGTAGGGCTGCAGTCAGAAGCAGAAACACAAGCCAGGGAGTAAATAATACATTTGCTAATATTTGGCAAACTATTGCAGGAAAGATTACATTAAAGTAGCGTCGCCAAAGAGCATTTTCATTTGGAAATGAAGTCATGATGTTAGTAGTCAGCATCCAGTGCAAACATCTACTACCATCCGAAAAATATTTTGGACAGCTGGCTTTCAGTCCTAAATCAAAATAACACCACTACAGGTACAGTTCAGAGTGGGTCTTGGGGCATAAGCTGGAGTTTGCAACCCAGTAATATGCTTGAGTTTCAGACTACAGTTAACAGACTACGACTTCAGGCTCCGTTGGCGTTAGAGCTGATCGGATTTGTCAAAAAAGTCTTTTTGTCTATTCAAAAAATGCCAATATCTTTGTGGTCAAAATCGTTGGAAAAAAGGATGAGTTTACAACTACCTTCTTTCTAAATGACGTTTGAAGAGCTCTGACATTTTAGTCTCCTGTAAAAGTGTAACATTTGAGGTTTCTTTTGTTGTGGGATAGAAATTATTTTCCTTTGTGGAAATCTGTCCTAAAGATAACTTTAAAAACATTAGCAACATTCTCTGCTGATTTTGAACTGATACAGCTGCTTAACTTCATTTTGTCAGATTCCTGGTAGTTTTACACTGGAAAACCTGCCCGACAGCCAGGTCTCGGCAGTGCCTGCAAGGTGCGGACGTTGTGGTGAAAGAGGGTGGAAACAGGCATGATGCTCTCTACCTCTCTCTAATCGAATAATTCCAGCAACTGCTTCTAACCTTTCCCTCACAGGAAGGTATATGCGTAGTAACCTGAATATGCCTCACAGCTTACCTCAAAGAAGCGGCGGTTTCAGGGATTATGAAAAAGACGCGCCAATCACCGTGCTGGGCTGTACGCAGGCAAGGCTTGTTGGTAAGTTGTCCTCAGCGGACAAGAACTTGCCCAGGAAACTTTGCTATCTTCCCACACACCCAGCCAGAGAAAGAGAAAGCGCAAGGCAGAAAAAAAAAATTATTTGGGTGCCCTGAACTAATGGGATTTAGACATTTCAAGAACTTTTGCAAAGTCCTTTCACCTTCCCCGGCAAGCCCCCTCTTTCAAAGGAAACCTTGTCTCCTTCAGCTGCTGCAGCTGAAGAAAAGACAAAGCACAAAATCTAGGACACGGTATGAAATCAGAGCCATCAGCAGTGCGGTTGCAGAGCATTTGCTATCACGCTGTAAACATGCCATGCTGGAAGACGCTGTTATTACCAATGTTGGTGAGAAACGCAGCGGTGTGACAGTCCCCTCATGCAAAATATGCTTTTCCCTTGACTTTGACAATCTTAAATTTTGACTTGCTGTTTGCTGCACCAATATACTTTTATCAGGCCATCTGGCTTTATGTTTATGTGGCAAAAGCACAGTCCAAATTATTTCCAGTGGTCTCTCACCCCCGCATCCTTGTCCCTGAGTTTGTGTATAGAGAGAAAATTATTTGGTAATCTACGAGCACATATTGTGATTAGAGGGGCCCAGCCCCTTAAAGGCACGACCTTCAGAGAGCAGTACTTAGCATTTTCTCAAACTCAAATCCTTTAGAGTACTTTGTGTTGGTCACATTCAAACTAGGGCAGCTAAAATTATACTTGCTTTTTAAACAAAAATAAATCACTGTACAACAGCAGGATGCTCAGACTCCCAGCCACATGGCATCAGGGTTCGCAATATGCACGTAACAGAAGGCGAATCTGGGAGCAATCACAGCACGCTTTGCTGCTATCATTAAATGGGTCCGAGTACGCAACTGCATACGTGACCCAGACGCCATCAACCTGCCAGCACGGCTGCGGCATCCAGCCATCTGCAGTCAACCGCTCCCCGCCGCAGCGGCACAGGCTCGACCTTGACGATTACCGGAGCTGTAATTCCTCTGACGGCTAAAGCAAATGAGCATCTTCGCCGTGACGGAGAGCTGTTAGATGTGCCGCTCCTTCTAAATTACCACTTCTCTCAAGAGATTTATAGATCGGTTTGACATGGTTACAGCCATCATTAAACATATGAAGTCAAGGTTAATAACCCCTTCTTGCTCCCACTTCTTTGTCCTGCCTCTTCAAATATAACAAAAATATAACTCTTTCTTACTACAAGTCTGTGCAACGCTGAGCAGATTCCTGTTCTCATTTGGTTCCCGTAGGCATTGCAAGAATATTAATAAACCTAATAGTGGAGTTGATTCTTATCTCATTTTCAGTGATCTTCCACCTGTGTAATGAAACGGTAATTTATAGTAGCAAAGAATCAAGCCAATTGAATTAAGCTGGTTTGACTTAAGTTGAATCATTCTGATTTACAGCTTATAAATGGAATGAAATTAAATTCAAGCTCTCTACTTTCTCGGCACACTGTTTGCTTTTTGGCTAAACCTCAGAGAAGCAGAAACTGAGCAAAAGCTGCTGTGATTTCTTTGCATACTGGTTAAGTACCTAGATGCACGTGGGGCAACACATACAGAAAAATGTGTCCTGGTTCCACAGCTGTGCACATCACAGTGCCCAACACACTGCAAAAATAAAATACGACGAGTAGACATATTTCCCAGAACACAAGCAGTGCAGCTGGGAAGCTGCTTTAGCTCCTTGCTGGGTGGCAGAAACCCTGCACGCTGCTGTTGCAGTTACAATGCTGTTTGTCTGGTTTTATTCACGGGTTGAAACTTGCTTGCAGGTGAAGCCTTGCTGGAAACTAATACCATTGTAGACTACATCTACAGCTCCCCATCCCTACGGTGTGTACAGACAGCACACAATATCCTGAAAGGTAAGGACCCAACGAGCAGGAAAGTCTGCATTTTCCTCACTTTCTGGGAAAAACACTGCCAACCAGATAAAAGGGAGCCTGGCAGGGGAGACCTAAGTAACTGGCAATTCAGGGTGAGGATTATTTCCATGGGAGTATACTTTACATTAGCACAACGTTGTCTGTAAGGAGCCCTTTTTTAATTGCGTGGTGTGACAAGCGCTTAGGCGAGTGGCATGCTGGTCCTAACACCAGCTGCCCCTCAGGGCTGGGTTTATTGCCCCCCGCCTCCCCCAGAAGCCAGATGTTCACTGGGGACGCGACGTGGACACGTCCAGCTCAGCATGCCCTGTGCCCTTGCCTGCTCACACTCCTGCAACTGCTCCTTGCTGCATGCTCCCACAGCAATTGCCACCACCAAGAAACTTGCTACCTCCAGTAAGAAGAATTTGCTGCAGAAACTGGGAAGGGAAATAGCGATAGAGGTAGGAGATGCCCTGGCATTAGAAACAGTTGAAAAACAGCTCCAAAGTACAGTCACGCCTAGGTTCGGTAGATTGCACGTAGCTGCCGGCCAGAGGTTTACATTCCCTGGCATATCATATGCTAAGTACATATATTAAATACTTCATCTTTCATACTTACTATTAATCAACTGACTACTTAGAGAGGGGAAAAAAAAATTACAATCAAACTGAAGTATTAAAGCTGCAAAGTCCTGCTGCGTTCCTCCCCAGCTACTTTCATTGATATCTGGTCTCCTTTCTCCCTTTTCTAGGTATGCAGCAAGAGAACAACCTGAAAATTCGAATAGAGCCAGGCTTGTTTGAATGGACCAAGTGGGTCTCTGGGAACACACTACCTGCCTGGATCCCCCCCGTGGATTTAGCTGCAGCTACTCTAAGCGTTGATACAACCTACAGGTAGCAGAAAGGGGGGTGAGAGGGTATTGCACTGCTTTTTGGCTTTGTTTTTGAAGCGCAACGCCTTGCTGAATTTTTAAATTTAAGCAGTGTCTGGAAGAGCTGCTGAGGCTCCCAGAATAAACTTAGAGCAGGCTCAAGGCTGCTGTGCTGAACATGACCTGAGAATGGCTTATTATAAACCAAATTTCCCACATCACTGGCAAGGTCCAGCTATATTGCTGATCATGGAGGTCCTCTTTCCAGTACTTCTTCCATCCTGGGCATCTTTCAGGCATCCATGAAACCTTCAAAGTATTTTTGTTTGTTTTAACCCTTTTCCTAAAACTTGGGAGTCTGAGCTCAGCTAACAGAACTAGTTTTGCTGACTCACTTCCCTGACCATCCTGTTTGTAGACTGAACCGGATCCTAGGCTCATTTACACTTGCCCTTCCCTTCCCCAGAGGAAAAAGTTTGGCTGTCTCTCTATTATGATTAGCATGGTGATGGATCTTAATTGTAAATTCTGCCTCACCCTAGGGAACATGTTTACATCTGTCAGGAATTTAGGGTCTCCTGTGATATCAAAATTCAGAGGGTTTTTTGTCAAAGAGCTAAACCCTAAGCCTTAATCACTTCTCAGCAATTACATGTGAAAAGTTTTTAATGGAAAAAATTGCAGGTTTCTGACTCAGGTTTTCATGGTATTCAGCCCAAAAACAGTTGGTGAAAGCAAACAAAGTGAATGTCTGGTTAAAAAGCATTTGAATGGCAAATGGATAAGCACCACTGATCTCTCCTCCTACTTTGCAGAAAAGAGAAATGCAAAGATAATTTGCTCGGCTTTCAGGAGCCCTGACAGAGCTGCTCCAAAAGCGGAGAGCTGACCTTCCCAGAGCTGAGCATTTTTGCCAGCCACCCTTGCAGCTGCACAGACCAGTCCTGGTGCCCGGTTGGGCTCCATATCCCAAACTCATGCCCTTGCTGCCAGCCTTTGCTGCCTTCCTTTTATCCAGCCACACGGCCATACCTCTGCCTTCCCAGTATCATTGCCGACAAACACCGCAGGGCTGCTGGGAGCAACCTGCAGCCCCAGTCTGAGGACAACTCGAGGCTCTCCCCTCTGACTCCCCAGTGAACCATTGCAGCCCTGCCGCCCTCCAGCCTACCACACCAATGCTTTTTACCATAAGTTGCAGAGAGAAAGGCTAAATAAAACCCAGCAGAAACAGTCATGTGGCAAAGAATAGACAAGATTATCTGTTCGGGCTTTCTACTCTCAAATTTACGATTCATTTATACAAGCCAGACTCAAAGAGCTCCCACGAAGAAGTCACACAGTTCCAGTCCTGCACCACACCTCACTGCTGAAATGCCTGTATCGCTGGTCTTCTTGCAGAGACTAGCACTTCCTATCTTAGCGTGAGCCTGATCATCAACTGAGCAATTTCAGATAAAAACAAAACATTTATACTGCACACATTGTATACATACACAGGAGTTGCACCTATGTGGGCTTGGTGACAAATATTTTGTGGCTGGGCTTTTGTGGTTTATGGTATCACCAGAAACGCTGATATTTCCTGGTGTCCCAGTGCACCCCTGTGTTTAAAAACCCTCAAGTGGAATAAGCAGTTGCAACATTAGAAAGAAAAAGAAAAAGGAAAATGCAAAGAAAAAACCCCTCTTTTTCATAACTAATTATACCATAAACCACTTGCATTGCGTCCTTCCAGTCCGCAGCTAAAATTCCACCACTCTGAGGGTATCTAAATAGAAGTCCTTACACTGTATTTATCCCTGAACGGGTATCACATAGCTAACACTCGGCAGAGCAGCTGGACCACAGGCGAGCCTCTGGTTCAGAAAACACATGCCTTCTGGGAAGACCGTAATGAATATTCTCAGCACAAGAAAAGAGCCTGTTCTTGTGTGGTCAGCTCGTTAGGTGGGGGACTGGGAGAGCACCCTCCTGGTACTCTCTGTCTCCTGTCACAGTGGTAATTCCTGTAAATATTTCAGATCACTGAACGGAGGGAAAAGTTAGGTCTTTTCCTTGCACCGCAGCACAAAAATACAGCCTTCTGCTTCCTATCCCGTGCTTCTCTGTGCACCTCAACCTACTTCAGCAAATAGATTGGCCAGAGTCCCGCCAGGCAATTCACTGGAACGCCCTGGCCCGGGAGGAGGCTGGCTAATTCCAGGCATTTCCCAGCAGTGCAGCTTTACAGATGGCCAAAGCAGCAGTTTCCCTCTGCCCTTCACCATCAAAGCACAAGCGGTGAAGAGAACCAGCATCTGCCTTCTCCACGCTTGACATTTCTCCCTGTACCTGCCCGGTCTCCTCAGATGGACACAGATGTTGTCAGCCCACCCTCTCAGCAGGCTGCAAGTCGTGGTAGCACAGCGCAGACCTCAATCTGGCAACGATGGCATGGGTGATGGCTTGTCACGCTGCTGGGACTGCTCTCTCTGCAGGCAGCTGTGTCGGCCCCCTCCTTGTCCCGCTGTCCCTTCCCACTCACCCACTCCTGCTGGGTACAGATTTTGTTTTCCTGCCACTCACTGACTTTATGTGGGTGGGTGAACCCTCAAATCTGCCGATCAAAGGGCACATAACTAAATAAACACAAAGCGGCATTGTTGTTGCTGCATGCCATTGCAAAATTAACACAAATGTCATCGGTGTGGTGTATGCTGCCTCCGCTAACTGGTCCACATTAGAGGAAGCAGTTATCATTTTTTCCCAGCTAACTGAAATATCTTAATGCAGGAATGGTAAATATCTCGGTCTTAAAGTTTAAAAATCATCAGAGTGGTCCTGACACAAGACGCAGTTCTGGGGATATGAGGAATTAGAAGAGTTAAAGAAACAGATACTTTCAGATGAATCATAACCTGTACTTAAAACTTTATCACTTCTTCCAATTTATCATACTTGTTTTTCTGCTCACAGACCTCATATTCCTGTCAGCAAGTTAGTGGTTTCCGAATCTTATGATACGTACATAAGTAGAAGCTACCAAGTAACAAAAGAAATCATCAGTGAATGTAAAGGCAAAGGTAAGTGCTACCGAGGGGGTGAAAAACAAGACAGGTTCTCTGGGATGTGAATGGTGATATTCCTGACCAGTCTTTCCCTCTTTGAGGAGATGAATCCCCATACCTGAATCTCTCATCCCCTCTCCCAGAGACATTGGAAACTCCTGTATATGTCAGAACTACGAGTTCAGATACGCTCAGCTTACGGGAAAAGTCCATAAACTTAAGTAGCAGAGGTATTTTAGGGATCCCTGCCCAGGGCAAGCTGTTTCTCAAGGGAATAAATAAGCCATTTGCACTCCGCTGTGCGTTGCCAGCATCAGATGGGACATCTTCCATCCCCTATTCTGAAATATATTACCCATAAAGGCTGTAGAACATTTCTCCAAACACAATATTGAAATTTAAAAAATCTCTAGCTTTTGGTTTTCATTCACAATATAGAAATAGGATGTTTCTAAGTTCTGGCAATTCCACTAATTTCATTTTACTAATCTGTCTCTACATTCTAAGCGTTTATTTTAATAGTTTGCACACAAACCTCAATAGCACAGTGTGGTATTGGTTGTAAAGGATCTTAGAAATGGAAATCTAAAGCTATCGCTGTGGAAAACCAGCAACTGAAATCAAAGTGCTTGTTTTAATCAGAATTAATTTTTGGGTAGGAGAAAAGCATTTGCTTCACAAGACAGCTGAAATCTCTCTGGAATTCTTGTTTTCTTCAGAAAGCCACTTTAAAACTAAGTAGCACTGAGTTGACCATTATCCTGAAAAGTGAGAAATGCTCTAAATATGTTAGTAAATCATGCTTTCCCCCCGACACACACAGTTTAATGTGTTGTTATATGATAAACTGAACCCACTTTGAACATTTTAAATGATCTGCTGGATCTCAGGCACCAGTCCCTTTAGGGGGGCTGGCTTCGTCTCCCTCCTCAGCCTGCGTTTCTCACTTTATTTCAGGAAATAACATCCTGATAGTGGCACACGCGTCCTCCCTGGAGGCTTGTACCTGCCAGCTCCAAGGGCTCTCGCCGCAGAACTCCAAGGACTTTGTACAGATGGTCCGAAAGGTAATTCCCACCAAGGAGTAAAGCTCGCTGGCTTTACAAAGAGAAAAGAAATTTGCAATCTGCTTAACCAGGCAGAGGACATTTTGTTCCCTTTGTCCGATTGTCTGCCCGCTACCGAGTTCCACCCATTTCAGAAGTCAGGAGAGTAAAGCAGATGGGTTTAAGAGGCTTATCGTAACGTGTCACTTCTGTAACAGATAACATGGGGTCAGATGCCCGCCTATGAACGGGCTTGCAGCGACTCTGCTTTTCACGTGTCGATACCAGGGGCAGTACAGACTCCCACGGTGCCCTCCTTTGCCAAAAACACCCCAACTGCAGTTAACAGGGCACTTCTGCCCTACACCACTTCCCCTTCTCATTTCACTCTAAAGGGCTGTGAACTGTCAGAGAAAAGGACTGAAAATCATAACAGGGTCTTCTGCCTTCATTCTCTTACTCCAGCCCTGGCTAAGGAGATGGCAGTGTGCGCTGCCAGCCTTGCAGACTCTCTCTGGATATTCATAGCTGGTACTTGATCTGAGGACACCGGAGCCAGAGCAGCATCCGTATTTCTCCTCCATAGCTGTGCTGGCCTTCAGGGTTTGGGACTGTGTCAGCCAACAGGGCATCTTTGACGTCCAGATTTGAACTGGCCCATATTTAAATGATGTTACAAAGGTATAATCTGTCTTTCCCAGTGTTTTGCACGTACAATGGTGCACAAAGTCTGGCTATCACACCAGAGTCCTACAATCATCTTTTGAAAACAGACTTTGTAAGAGCACAGTAGCACAGCAGGACCTCAGCCCTTTCGGGGAGCTCCCTCCTTGCACAGCTCAATCCCTACTCATTACCTTTATTTCCATCTCTCTTCACACAGATTCCATACTTGGGGTTTTGTTCGTGCGAAGAACTGGGAGATACAGGTGTTTGGCAGCTTACGGACCCCCCCATCCTCCCTCTCACACACGGACCAACTGGAGGCTTTAACTGGAGAGAAACCTTACTACAAGAATAGGCAAAGCTACGTGAGCAAGGAAAACCCATGGCCTTTCTAAGCATTGGAGAACGTCTCTTCTTTCTTGTGTTTATTGACAGTGGAAAAATAGTCATAATATGTTCAGTGGATCACACAAACAGCTGTTCTAGCATATCTCTCACACAGCCACGGTCATGCAAAAATTCTCATATATAACTACGCAAATACAGAAGGGAGTGATTTGAGGGGAAAAAATTATTAAAATACAGATTGAAGCTCTTGCACAGCAGGGAGTCTCTGTTTAGTCAGTAGCTCGGGTAGATTTTCCCACCTCAAACGGAGCTCTGATAACACTAGTAACTTTCACTGCCTTCTGCACCGCGTTAGAAACAACTAGCACTGTGTAAAAGTCGAGCGTTCAGGATGCTGGGGGTTTTTTCACTACTATTTTTGCAAAGCATTAGCAGGCTTGTTCAGGACCACACGTTGACATCCCCCCTCGCTCACAACCCCCAAATTCTCAGCACCTTCCATAAAACGTATCACCACTAGTTGGAAATGAGAGTCCGGCATTGCCTCTGCAGGCAGCATCAGATTATTCCCCTCCTCTGTCTGAGCACTGTGTTAGGTGTTGTGTTGGGCATACCGTGGATGCAAAGATTGATTGACGCTGATCCGCATCAGAAGAAAATTCCGAATTTCACATCAGTTACAGATGAAGTTTGCACATCAAAAGACAGCGCCGTTGTGAACAAAGACTGGGAACAGTTTCTTCTAAGTGGAGATGAAATAAGCCTTTTCCAACCAAACCTGAAGGATTTAGAAAGTTGGCTTGTTTGTTTTGTTTTTTTTTCCATTTATTTAGGTTATCGAAATCCACCCTTGTGCACAGACCCAGTCTAAAGTGTTTATGTCATTTAAATTCCCTTCAGAAGACCTTGGAAAAGGGTTTTCCTTTTTGTACCGAGATTTTGTGCTGGTCATTTACACAGTGGTGGCTTTCTGTCCCTTGGGAGCTTTTCTGTCAGCCCTGGTGAGATTCGGCAGTAAGAAGCTTTCTTCAGGAGGTAATGATGAAATCAAAAAGACACTGAAATTCAGCCTCCGCTGCATGCTTTGCTTCCTTTTCCTTAATTTCTAAGTGCCATCTGTCATAAAGACAAAGCAGAGCTGAAAAAAACAGTACACTTAAATTTAAGAGCAACGTGCTTTGGCCTATTAAGATGCTATTTGTCCCGCGGGGGAAGGGTTAGGATTCTGAGAGAAGGGTTTCCATCTGCAGCTAAAATCTTTGAAATGACAAGAAGTGTCCTCTTAACGCAACAGCCTGCAAGATGCCGATACCAGCCGCTTCACAGGAGAATGCAAGATACAGCACAGTGGGTAGTTTATAGTATAAACTGGCTTCAGAGCACGTTTCTTTTAGAGTAATATTATCTTACCAGCCTTAGGTCAAAAAGTTCCTGCGGGCATTTGTACGGGTCTTATCAGTGCAGGCTCGCTTTCAGAAGGTACTTACAAATGTGCTTAAATGGGATAAAAGAGATTTAGGCATACTCCTTTCTTAGTTTGGTCCATAAGTCTGAGTATTCCCATAAATAACATCAAAGGCAAGTTCCGAAGTACCAGGAAAGAAATTCTGGCATCCTAGGTACCCCTCTTCTGTGCAGCTTTTCCTCTGCAGAAAGCGGCAGTGTCCTCATTTGAAATGTTTCTATGGCCAGAAGTTTATTCTGGCCAACTTTGACAAAGGCTTATTATTCATAGCAAGATAGAAGTTTGTTTTGTGTTGGTTTCTTTTAACCTGTCAAGCCTTTGGCAGAACTGGTCTCACCTTCAGCAGGCTATGACCGAGCTGCACTTTCAGCAGTCAGAACAAGTAAGGAGTGATAAATTGCAATCCCTTCTTCCTAAATGAGGCAAAACACTCAGCAATTGCAATGTAACAAGTCTTACGGGGCTTTAGCTCAGCTTTGTCTCTGGGTTTTGTTGAGCTTGCCAGGGAGGGTACACCAGATCCTGTACATATGTTGAGTCAGCAGAGAGCTCATACTGTGCAATATGTACATTGTCGTGATCCATAACAATAGTTCATTATTTATACATTTGTGCCTATGTGATACACAGTAGGCCATTCATAAGTGCATTATTATACCAGGGATGTATACTGAAAAGTCAGGGAGATAACTTATGAGATGACAGAAGAAACTGCTCCCATGCAGTTATACTGCTGTCATTTTAGTTTTTAACTGTAATTTAAACTATTTTTGGCTGTGTACAGACTTTCTGAAGAGCATTTCTGGCTTGTTTTCCTCCATGCTTACTCCCTGCAAATTTGCAAAGAGTTTAAAACTAAATAGATGACAATCACAGCAAAACTAATTTGGTTACTGATGCACGTGTCATTCTCTGGACTGCTTTTTTGTTTCACGCTCTATGGGCCAGCAAGATGTAATTTGAGGCAAGAGATACTGCCTATACAAAACAGTGGAGGCTGCTCAGGTCCTGCTGCAGTTGAGCAACATTACAAGGAGTTTATTTAGACAGAAGTGTGAAACAGAGAGGGAACAAAAACTGAATGCACAACTTGAATGTTGTACTAGCTGATCTTTGCATATAGTAATTAACATAGAAAAGAGTGTTCTGTTTGAGAAGGTAGATGTTAAAATACTCTCTTCTTTTAAAAAAAAAATCTATTTTTGGATGTTTGGGAAAGTATTTTGACAATTGTAGTCTTAAATTAGATTCTTCAAGTGTCAAGAATATCAGAAAGAAAAATCTTATTTTGTTCTAGCATTTTGATTTCTCATAGGGGTTTTGTGTTAAGTAGCCTCATGTTGATAAGGCTTATTGGGGGAAAAAGAAAAAAAAAAAGATGTTCCTTTTAAATTTTTAACGGAGATGTTAAGAACACAAAACAATTGCTGCTTCACTCTCACTCCATTGCTGCTCATTAATGTCTATTTAACGTTGCTTCAGTGTTTTGTCCCAGAAGAACATGAGACTTGATCTATCTGAAGTGTGTGCAAGTCTTTTCCTTGCCTTCACTTTGAGCTGCATCAGATCCCAACCATTTAATTAGGCTATAGGAGGCAAATAGCAGTTCCTAGATTTTTCCCTCTCTTCCCAACTAAGGAATAAAGCTGGAAATATGCCTAATAGAAGTTGTTCGTCCAGTATTTTCAGAAAGTGCAACTTAAGGGTTGCACTAGAAAAGCACAAGAATCAAGGCACAGAATCAAAACCTGGCATAGCAGCAGCCGACGGGATGACACTCGGCACCAGAAGGTCAAGACGAGGGTATTTGAAAAACTTCAGGTTTGATTAAGAGTATGTCCTTATCACTGGACTTTTTAATCTCTCTCTGCTGACGTGGATGGGAGGGGGCTGCAGCGTGCCCCAACCCCAAGGCTTGAGCTCTGCCGGGGCATACCTTTCTAGTTTAATGCAGGTGCCAGGTCTAAAGTCTCATGCGTTTCCCTTACGTTTAGTGCAGCGGCAGCTGCAGCCAAATACTTAAATCCTCTGAGCACGGGGCCAGGTTCTCCGTGAGTGTAAATTGACACTCTGTACTCAAATCAACACAGCTTTGCTGAGGATCCAGGCCATAACTAAAGAAAAAAAAACCATGTATTTCCCTTTTCACTCAGTCTGAACAGTTTCAGAAAGAAAATAGCTGATGGTAGGAGTCTCCTCCTCTCGTCTGGTGTTAGCTTCTAGTTACTATGAAAGTGACAATTTACATCACCAAATAAGTGGTTGTTTACAAGAATTCTGCAGGAATTATCTTTAGCAAAGGCAACGCAAGCGGTAATTCTGCAACACAAGGTAAAAAGGATGCTAGAGCATTATTTCCCAGCCTATTCTTTCGTATCTGCAGCCCTGAGCCCCCCAGGTAGCAATATCTCAGGGACGTGGGTACTGTCACCTCTGACTGCGCTCACTGCGGCGCTTGGATCAAAAGATGGGGAGGGAGTTGTGTACAGCACTGTGACAAACTCAGGCTCTTTACTTAGTCCTGCGTACTGCACTGGATGCGAGGGGTTGTAAACTTGTCCCTCTGGGTTCTTACAAAGGCCTCATCCAGAGCCCAGGGAAACAAAGAGGAAGATTTCCCATAATTTCCTTAGGCTTGCGATGAAGCCGTGCAAAGCCTGGTCCTACCACGGGCTGCGCCCCCCCACCCGCCACTGACTTAGTGAGGAATTTGGAGGGGTCGTATCTGTGTGGTTGAGCCCTCGCAGCCCTGATTTAAGAAATGCATGCAGAAGTAGGGTGAGATTTAGTGTCCAATTATGTTCACATTCATTTCAAAAAGAGGGACGCTAGATAGTTGAGTTAGGCTGTAGTCGACTAACCCTTATTTAAACCCAGAGCTGGAAATTAGTCTGTGATGCTTCACAACTTAAAATGTATTGAAATTCCATATGAAAACTATTATTTAGAAAGGGAGCCTTAATAGGTTTGGTTTGTGGTTTGGTTTGTTTTTAACAAAGAGTCTAAGTATAGAGGAAGTTACTTGAACTTTAAAAATACAGGTGAAATGATGGTGGTAGCAGACATGCTTAAAACAGTGAATCAATGAACAAAACAAAACAAAACCGAAGCTGTAAGTGTGATTGGTTGCATACACTCTAAATCGCTACTTACTTCTCACCACTTCCTCAAATACTTGTTCCCTGGGGAATATTCATGAACCATACACGCTACATAACAGAAAATACACAGCCAGTTCCTCTCTATTACTTCCCATTAAAATGTATTTTCTGAAGTTTCTCTCTGTGGACATCTCTTAAAACTTGATGTTATCAATGGATACTTTTTTTTTTTTTTTCATTTTAAACCTGTTGTATCATTCTGTTTATTATGTTTTTTAAGTGTGAGCAGATCGTATTTATTTGAGAAAAATGTTTGCTGTTTAAAAACCAATAATTGTATTGCCAAAAATAGCTGTAATTACCTGTGACATCTGTATTTTTTTATTTTGGTGGGTTGGTCGGTTGTTTTTAGTCTCAGTTTCAAGTGCTAACAACTGTTAAAACAACCACTGCATTTTAATTTGCTTATGCCATTAAATGGATTTCTTGGAAGTCAGACAAAAATGTCTTGTAGATGATTTAATAAAGATGCCACACGCTCACACCTCGCCCTTCCTATTTAAAATTTTCCTCTCAAGCGTGTTGGGCTTTGCCGGAGCAAATATTCCGACACAGACTTTCAAAGAAGTGTCCCTTCAGGGCATTGCTGGGGTACCCCTGAGCAGTATTTTCAGCAGCTCCAGCAAGGTGTAGGTAGGAAAAACGCCTGTCCGGGACATATGCCTGGAGAAGAGCCACACTGGGACCTTGAAACAAAAAGGGAGTCAGGGCTGTTGCTCACTTTGGGTCGCAATGCTGCCCTCGCCGCATCCCATTTCGGGATGCCCACCCAGATGGGGTGAAAGCCTCAGACGCATCAAGGAGAAAGGGGAATTTGAGCTGCATTTTTCTTCCCTTCACCGAAGTTCATTCATTTGACAGCAGATGGCAGAAAACCATTTCGAGTCTGGCTTTCCGTTTACTGCCCAGGGACAGGAGTGTTCCCTCTGGGTTGGAGGCAGGTGGCTCCAGTGTCTCTGCTGCTTGGTGGCTTTTTTCCCCCAGAGTTACTCTACTGTCAGGTTTAAACATGCGGAACTGGAAGCACAACTTTTAAACCAAAGCAATGCATACCTTTACAACACATACCTTCTTTCTTGATCTGGATATTTTTAATCCAGCAGTAGTTTTATCAGCCACTGAGACACTTTCCTTTCAAACGAACGATCTATGTTAAACTTTATGGCCTACAGCTCTGTTTTCCAGTAAAACTGATTATATTATGATTAACAGAAAGCTTGTAGCTTTTATCAATCAAATATACACTAATAGAATGACACACTTCCATGCACCTGAAAGTTTAACGGAAACAGGTCCTAATAAATTAGAAGTGAAATGCATAATGTATTCATAATTAACCATTTCATCCACTTCACTCAAACCCATGTCCTGCAAACGCACACAGTTTTTAAACCATATTTCTTACCTTACTAAAGTCAGCTCATTTTGACAGTATTAGTCATTTGCACTAAGCGTTGGGTAGTTGCAGGGAAGTGCCAGAAGAGGATTTGCCAAAGCCTTTATGGAAATCAGCACACGCAGCTACGTCACGAAAAGAGACTCTGCCTACAACAGGCTGGGATAAATCTTCTGATGTTACTGGACATCACACACCCAGGAGACGCAAAAAGCTTTGCTATGCCCCAGATTGCTCCTGAAGTAATGAGACCTGCAAGGGGACACGGGAAACCCAGATTCTGCCACCAGTCCTCTGGGACCTCCTTGATGTAGTCATCCCTCTGCCCTGTGCTTCAGTGCTCGGTGAACCTTTCACAACCACCTCACCAACACTTCACTCCCTGGAGAGCCATAAACCACACGCAGCAAATTACCTTTCTCTCGTGACTTGTTGTCCCAGGATCCCTGCAAACAGAACAAAGCAAACCTCCCATGCACACGGCGGTACAAGACTATTTTTCCAGGGATTTAAACCGCACAGCTGGGTTTTCGAGCAACCTTACCAACTACTGCACTACAGCAGCATCCACCAAAGAAATTCTGCCCGACTGGGTACCTCCCCATCTTGGGGAATTAAATCTTGCACACAGCGCACTGTAGGATCGCTGCAGCAGGGGTTCCCAGAAGGGTTACCCCAGGCCCATGTTTCTCTTAACCTTCATCTGCCTCCCCCCCATGTACATCTCTCCCCCACACGGATGCTGAGCGAGACAGAGCTGGAGGGGGTGCAAGGTGAAATGCCCCCAGTCCTGTCGCCCACCAGCTTCATTTTAGGGACCTGTGAGGTCACCGATTTCTCAGCAATCGCCAACACCTAAGAAAGGTGAGAAGAGAGTGGAACAGCAGAGAGAAGGAGAGGAGGCAGAGACCCCGCCAGCGATGAAGTCATGGTAAATCTGCTCCCCCGGTGCTGAAAAGGGCTCTGCCGCACCACAGCCCCGGCAGAGAGAGGAAGTCGGCACAGACGTCTGCACCCACACCGCAACATGACTTTCACCAGGGTGCTACACATCGCGGCTCTGTTCCTGATGCAAGGTAAGCTACACGCGTTACCTTACGCGATCTCCCCTTTGCAAGGAGTCCAGCTTGGAGAGCTCAGTTTCCAGAGTTTCAGCACCCCACGCGCAAGGCAGCTTTGCTGTTGTTGTTTTCTCGTTGACAATGCCATATTGTCACCCAATTTCCAAAGCACGCTGGTGCTGAATTCCAGCTGACTCCAGTATCGATGAGACCAGTTCACCGAGCAGCTGGCACCATGCTCGAGACGGCAAAGCACTGGGAAATCGAAAGATTCTCCCTTAAATTTGGACAGCGGATGACTGCTTACTTTCCATTGCTTGAATATCTGTGTATGCCTTTGTTCATGTGTTATGTAATAAGAGGCTGATATAAGAAGTCAGAGTAATTTTCAAAGTACTTTGCAAGTGCTTTCTAAATGAAAAGCACTTAAAATGCTCAATCTCCTTACTCCTACTAGAGGATGTAGCTTATACCTACTTTGCCATTCTCCAGTCTTCTATACACAGGACAGTGTGAGAGGTTCATATTTGTCAAATGGGTAAAGATTTAAGTAAGGAAAGCGGCAAGACAGCTATTTACTGCTCGGGATTCTTGCAGTCTTCACTCCTGACCTTTGCAGGAGACACGCACACATTGGTGCTGGCCAAAGCACAAGTCCCTCTCCCTTCTTAACAAGTGCTGGAGCAGAAACCATAGCAGCGTTGTTGCTGACACTTTGCTAATACTCTCACGCACAAAGGTATTGTTAACAGAGGCCGCATCAAGTCTCAGTGTCTAAACAGCGACAGAGCATTCTGTAATACCGTATGCTTCGGATATTTTATTACCATTGATTGAAAAAAGCCAGGCCTTAAAGAGCTGTCAGTTATATTCTAGCTGAACTAGCACTTGCCTTGCACTTTAGGCTTGCTCCAAATCAGCAGCTTCTGCTCTGAGCGTACAACCCCTCTTCCCCCAATATTGCCAGACTCCTGCACAATGAATTTGTACCGGCTGGCAGTCTCTAGCTGCTCTTGGCCATCAGAATTAATTCAGACTCCCACTCACAGGTCGGCAGCCACAAGTCAAAAATAACTCATTAAACAGGATGTCTGTATAGGCTACAGTTTTAAAGATAACACTGAAATGTTGTGCTGATACGCACTCAATGCATCAAGGTCTCTGTGCACTTTCTGATGGCTCAAATAATAGCAACCAGAGGCATGAACCATTCTGCTCAGTTGCATTCTGCAATTTCTAGCAAGAAATTGTTGCCCTTTCTTGGCAAGAAGGTGGATATATCACCGTACTTGATGCCAGACTAATTTTTCCAGGTAGCCGGGGCACCTGGGATCCACACAGTGCAAGGACCAGTGTCTTCTGGAGCTGGCACGGGAGCATCTCCCACGCCCCAGTGACTGTACTGTGGTGGGCTACAGTGGCTTGAAGACCACAGCCGTGTCAAACTGCTCCATATACAAGAATGGAAATTTGGCCTGCGAGTCACGGTGTGAATGAAGCCATGGCCTTTCATGGAAATTACATATATGCGCTGTTCTGGGGGCTGCTTTTTTCTGTTTTAGCAAAGCAAGCAACACCCCCACCTTTTCTCGTTCAGTCTTGCTGCTCTCACCTCCAAAAGTGCGATCGAAAGACCCCACACTGCTGTTAGCAACAGGAAACCATCATGACGAAAAAAATGCAGAAGGGCCCCGTGGAAAGCCACAGACAAGGCCCTCTCTGCTACCTTAAGAGCATGCACCTCCTGACACGGGTCTTCACAAGCGGAACCCATGCAAGAAGGTTTTCCTTTTCTACCACTCCTCTGCAAGTGACCCCTATGTGGCACAAGCCCGGAGAAGCCAGCTGAGACACTACCCCTAGGAAATGGAGATGGAATCAAGAGGAAATACAAGCCAAAGGCACTGATGTGCCATATGTGATGGTAAATCAGTTATAGCCACTCTAAGTTCAACAGGGCTTCAGTGGTGTAGAGCGATTCAGTCGAACCCAGCCTGTGGTGTCTCTGGCACCATACAGTAAGGACATGCAGCAGGTCTGTACTGATAGTTTCTCCTTAACTAAAGCAGCATACATCGTACTCACAAATTCAGAAGTAAAAATATTGAGATATTACAAGGAAATCTCTTCTACAAGCTTATAGACTCCAAAGATTAGACAGTGAAGATAGAGAAAATATCTATGGTGTATTTACTATTTGTGAAGTCCCAAGCTACACCACTGACCGTTTTTTCCGTGCCACCTCTGGCCCAGGAAAAAGTCAGGTGTGCTCAGCTCAAGGGTCAGGCATGGCAACAGATCCCCATGGGAAACTACTGTCTTACAGGGAGACAAGTCCTTCCTCTGATTTTAGTGGTAAAAGATCAGATCCAGCAAGAATGCCCTATGATAGCTTCATTTCTAGTATATTTTAAGAAAATGAAAAGCTTTCCTGAAACCCAGAAATATTCATTTCCCCAGACTACAGTGCTCAAATTTGCAGTAGGAACTCGCAGCAGACAGCTACCTGGAAAATAAAATCAAAACACACAAAACCAGAATGAAACATAAAACCCTCTTACTGCCTATTTACTTATCTCTGACCCAGGTACTGCTCTTAGTAATTTCTCCAGGGCATGTTTTCTTCTGGAGAAGGTAATTCATTCCAGGCCATCAAATATTTTCACAAAGTGTATTAGATATCTTAGAATGTCTGGAGAGAAAAAACACACTTTACTGCCCATCTGTAAAATGAACTGGGAGGAGAGAGAAAGAAATTTCATTTTAGTAACCTGGGCCAGGACAGGTTTCTAGATCCTATCTTCAAAAGAAGTTTCAAAGCCAGTTCAAAGCAGTTGCAGCATTATAATTTCTGAATGAAAAAAGCCTCATTTTTCAGAGATGCTGATCATTCACTGCACAGTCACACACGCATGCAAACCAGGTTCAACAGCTCCAGAATGGAACGTGGAATAATGAAAATTAACGTTTGTGTTAACATACAGGGACAAAGTGTATTAAATGGGTCTGCTATCAATTCTTTATTGACTCATGTGGAATAAAATTTAATAACTAAATCTGGTTACGCTAGCAGGTGAAGATCACAAACCTTTGGTACAAGTCTTAGTGACTGTGATGACCTGCCTAAGGATTGTGATTTATTTATATCACTACAATAATATTGGCAAATTTCCTAATGTAGAAAAACCTTTACACTCTTGAAAAAAGGAAAATTGACATACTACTCTGTGTGAGACATTGTCACTTTGTTTCATGTCACGTTCTAATACTTGTTTTTTCCCCTCAACTCTGGCAGGGGATTTTCCAGGAGCTGGCAGTGAAACCGTAACTCTAAAGGAAGGAGAGGATCTGAATCTCCGCTGCACCCTCAGCAGTCACAACCATTCTGCTCGGCAGTGGTTAAACCCTCACGGGTTTGCCATTTTTTTAAACACTCATCGAGGTAAGTGTGAAAACTGAACGCAGCACTTTCCACGAGGGGCTGGAGGGTCAGTCAGCAGTGGGCTTTCCCAGCTCCCACCCGTGGCCAGTCTGAGTCACCTGCTACCCAACCGCTCAAGGTGGTTTTTACGTTCAGCCCCTTTCTGGCAGGAAGGTGATGAAATGGAAACCCCCACAAGAGTGGTCGAGCACTAGAGCTTTCAGCAATGAACTGTAGTTACCACCAGCACCAAGAGATTAGCACAAAAACCCACTCTTGCCTTACAAGAGAGACAGGAGTGGACGTGCCTGAAAGCCCTGGGTACATTTCTGCTCATTGGGGAACTCGATGTAGCGCATCGAGGAAATTTTTAGAAAACAAGCAGCGATTTCTAATAGGTGCTGACAAAGGCAAAGTTGCATTTATTGTGTTCCCTTCCACTCCCTACACCTCATGTCTCTCTGCCCTTATCTCTCCTCCCGTTGGTCCAAGTTTGACAGCTCTACAAGATGAGGACTGCCTTGGTCTTCCCCATTTGTACAGTACCTAGTCAGCATCCCTGCTTGTTTAGGCTTTAATGATAATAATAAGTGGCATTTATCCAAATGACATTGGGTACCCAACTCCCCTTGAAACTGCCCAGGAACTGAGGGTCCTCTTTGGTTGCTCTGAGAATCACAGCCACCAGGTCTTGCCACCCGCATCAAACCAGCCTACTAATATTTCCCCCAAGTATTGCCAATATTTCTAAACGGAAAATGTCATGAGTAACTGTTGCTCCTATTTACTCAGTTACAATAGCAAGTGGGATGAGTGTTTATTAGCAATTTTAAATGACTCACACATGTATGTATTAGGAACTGTTTCCTGTGGAATCCAGGATCCAAAGTTCAGTACTCTCAGTATAATGCAAATGAACCATTATATTCAAATGGGATCCAAAAAATCCTCAGCACTTAGAAAACACGGGAAACAGGGCTACTGCAACTCGCTCTGTGCTGCTTTGACATCCAGGCTTCCAAAAAGCACAGCAGGCTACGGCAGGGGTTCCTCTCCCCTGTTGCAGTCTGTCAGTCCGATCATGCACCCAAGAACTGCAAGACCTAGGAGGAAATCACCTCTCCATCAGTTATGTCTATTTTTGACATATATGTATGTTCTCAGTATTTTACATTGTAGAGGTAGGCAAGAGTAGCAAGAATTATTTAATTTATGCAAGTTGTCTTTGGCCCTGGCTACAGCCACAGATGCTCTCTTTCTATGCCAACAATTTTGGATTGAGACACTTTATTCTGCCCTTTTGATGCTTAAAGTTTTGTTGAGTCGACACAGCAACT